TGCACGGTGGCACGGTCACCTGCATGTCTGCACTGCATCCAGTGCAGTTCCCGTGCACAGCAGGGCACGACACCTTTTCCGTGCACACTCGCGCTGTAGCTGTGCATAATTACCCTGTGCCCGTGCACAATTATCTTATGCCCATTCCCGTCTGCATCGAGATGGTGCACACTTGCATGGTGCCGTGCACGCTTGCATGGTCCCTTGCACACTTACATCATGCCCGTGCACGCTTGCATGGTCCCATGCACGCTTACATCGTGCCTGTGCACACTTGCATGGTGCCGTGCATGTTTACAGCGTACCCGTGCAAGCTTGCATGGTGCTGTGCACACTTGCATGGTCCCATGCACGCTTACATCATGCCTATGCACACTTGTACGATTCCGTGCACGCTTGCATGGTGCCGTGCACGCTCGCACGGTGCCTGTGCACACTTGCATGTTGCCCGTGCACACTTCTACTGCTCTCCTCTCATCCCATCGTGTCCGTGGGATAGGAGTGACGACTACACTCGTTCACACCATGTCGTGCACACTGAGCCCGCACCCGTGCACGCTCACGCTGCACCCCGTGCGCTTGCAGCCGTGCACAATCGCTCTGCATCGGTGCACACTTCACGTTGCACGGGGCACCGTCGTCCTCTATCCGGGAATAGTGTGTGACCACATAGCCCGTATCCGTGCCCGGTCCCATCGTGTCCTGGCACAGTCATCCTGTATCCGTGCTCCCTTTGGTGGTACCCATGCTCGGTGGCCCCGTGTGCGGGCAGCCACGCGCACCCGTGCACCGGATGGTCCCGCGTGGCCGTGCGGGGCCCAAAGCCAGTGTCACCGGCCAGGCTCACGGAGGGGACGATGTGTGGGTGCTGTGAGGGCCTGGGGCTGCTGCTCCCCGCCGGGCTCGGACACGGTTACAGCGGGTCCGCGGCTTCCGTCGGCACCGGGCGGGCCGACCCGGAGCCGGGCTGGGCTGCCCCACCGCCTCCGCCGGAGATTTCGTTTCTAGCGGCTCTGGCTTTAAGGTTTCACATGGGAGAGCGGCTGGGATCGGGCCCGCGGTTCCTTCTCGAGGAAAGGCCGTTTGTTTGGGAGAAAGGGAGGAAGAGTAAGGTCTCCTTTCTCCCCTGGCCGCCCCAGTGTCTCCCCGTCCCAGGGGGACCCGAGTCAGGGAGCAGTGGGTTAGGGGTCGTTGCGCAGAGCCAACGACCCGGGAACTGCACGTGATCGGTGGATTTGGTTTCCTAAAAATAATATATATATACACACTTAAAAAAAAAATCCCTCACCCCAATTTCGCTGCCAACGATATTCCCCGCCCGCAGCTTGGGTTCGGGCCCGGATCCAGGCAGTCGGGGTGGAAGGTCCTCCCGCCACCGTGGGGAAACGTGGCCCTGCTGAGCCGCGCTGAGCCGAACCGAGCCCGGCCCGAGCGAGCCGGGCGGTGCAGAGCCGTGCCAAGGCGCGCAGAGCCGTGCCAAGCCCGCCGTGCCTAGGCGAGCCCGGCCGCAGCGCTGCCGCCCCCGGCTTTGCGCCGGCTTCGGCTCCCCCCAGCCGGTGGGGCGGCTCCGGAGCCCCCGCTCCCGGCACCGTCCTGCCCGACCTTCCTCCAGAATGCACAGCAGGAATATATTTGTGTATATGTATGTGTCTGTATATATATATATATATATATGAATATATGTACGTATGTACGTATTTTTAATTTTGGTCCTTTTCCTCCCTCACCCTCCCAGAGCGGCCTGGCACACGGGAGGGCCCCGGCGTTCGGGGCGCGCAGTGCGGCTCCTTGGGCTCCGCCACCGAGGGTTGTGGGGCTCCGAAGGCAGCAAGAGGTGGCTGGGAAAACGCTCCTGCTCGAGCCAGGCTTCTCCGGGCTCGTTGCCGCTTCCTCGCGTTAGAAATAAAAACAAAATCGAGATGATCTGAGGGAGAACAAAAGAAATCGCAATAGCGATAACGAACCCAAACCAACAACACTTGCAACAGCAAATTGTAATAGTAATAATAGGCATAGTAATAATAATAATAATTATAATAATTATTATTATTACAAAGGAAATGAGGCACACGTTCGCCGCGACTCCCCTGCGCCCTGTGCGGTGCGGAGGGAACGCGGATCTCCTCGCCTTGCCTCGGAAAGCGGCGCAGCGCCGGAGCCGCGGCTCGCACGAGGGTATTTATTCCCCTTCCCCTGCTTTGCAGTGAACTGTGCCCCGTCCCCAGGCAAAGCCGCGTTGCCGCTGCCCATAAAACTGTGTCACGGGCGCTCTAACGCCGAGAGCGGCAGCGGAGCGCAGCAGCGGGGTGAGTGCGCGGAACCTGCGCGGTCGCTCCGCGCCGGCGACACGCCGGGGATCGCCGGGGAAGGGACATTTCGTTGCGGCAGTGCCTGGGCGGCGGCCCCTCTGCCTTTTCCCCTGGGTGGGAATGAGCCTGGGAGTCGATCCCACATGCAAGGGCCAGGAATCGCCTCTGCAGAGCGCGGGGCGGATTTGGGGCTTGCTTGGGTTTGTTTTTTATTCTGTTTTTCGTTTTGAATCGTTCGCCTTTGGCACAAAACGAGCCGCTGTCCGACCCGGAACGGCGGCGGAGGGACAGGCTGCCCGATCCGTGCGGCTCCTGCACCTCTGGCCACGGTTCCAGCCCCGGCTCCAGCCACATTTTCAGCCTCGGCTTCGGCCCCGTCTCCAGCTCCAGCCCCAGCTCCGGCCCCGGTTCTAGCCCCGCTTCCAGCTCCGGCCTCGGCCCCGGCTCCAGCCCTGGCTCAATCCTGGCCCCGACTTCAATCTCTGCCTCGGCTACAACCCTGGCTCCAAGCCCGGCCCCGACTCCAAGCTCGGTGTCGGCTCCAGCCCCGGCTCCGGTTCCAGCCCCGGCCCCGGGAGCCGGTGGCTGCCCCAGCCCTCCGTAATGCCCCTTCCCAGCGCAGGCAGCCTCACCATGTTTCTTCTTCCGCCCTCTCCATTCTGTTTTTTTTTTTTTTTTTTTTTTTTTCTTTCTTTCTTTTTTCTTTTTCTTTTTTTCCGTCTCCTTAATTAATCATTACTTTCTCCATGCTGTTTTCCTCCCTCCCTGAAAGAAGGAGCCACGGGTTGAAGCCGAGAAGGAGCCGCGGCTCGGGGCCCATCCGCACGAGCCACATCGGAGGCCTCGAATCCCGCCGGGCCCGGGCCGGCACCACCGGGAACACCCCGAGCGTGGCCCTGGGTACCGCGCTGGGCCCGGGAGATGCCCCGGCCGGACTCGGGGCTGCAGCGAGTGCCCAGGGCCCCGGGAAAACCCGCCCGCTGTGGCCGCCCTCCACCGCCCAGGGTGAATATTGGGGGCTCGGGGAGCTGCCGTGTCCTTCCGAAGGTGCCGGTCGCGGGGGATTGAGTTCTTGGGTTTGCCGCACTCTGGCAATTGGATTAGCAGCTAATTTAGTTATTTTAAATCCACCGTCATTATAACCTCTTCGATTTGAGAGGATTCGGGGCCTGGCGAATAGGGGTCCCACTTGCAGCCCGTCCCTTGCCCGCTCCTTCAGGAAGGGACGGGATGTGAAGGTTCCCCGTTACTCCCGCTTTTCCAACGGGTTTTACCCTGCTGTAAAAGCCAGCAAAACGGAGCAGGCAGAGGAGGCCTGTGGGGGGATCCCGGGACACCCGGGACACCCCTTGGAGGCCTCGGAGGCCCGGCCGGCAGCAGCCCTTGGATGATCCCGAGCTGGAGGGTGTCGCGGTGCCCAAGGGGCCGCGACCGGGGCCAGGCGGTGTCGGGGCGGCCGGGACCCGGGTCTGGTTCCATCCCCGGGCGGCCCGGGGAGGTGTTGCCCGGCCTCCGTTCTAGTCGGGGCGTGGGGGCCGCGGGGCCGGGACAACCTGAGCCACCGGAGGTTTTTATTTACATTAATTATTGTCTTGATTATTATCACTGTTGTTGTTGCTGTTGCTGTTGTGGCTGTTGTCATTCGCTGCGCGCGGGGCAGGTGCGGGCCCGGCCGGCCGAGCCCCCCCGCACAGCGCAGCGCCTCGGTCCCGCTCCCCGCTCCGCCCGGCGCTTCTCGCCGCTCCGCGCGGTGCGGGCAGCGGCGACCGAGGGGCTCTTTGTTTACCAACCGCGAGCAGGAAATTACGTGGGCGCCGGGCAGTTAATTTTAAATTGCTGCTTTTAATACTCTCCTGCGGCTCCCCCCTCGCCGCGGCCGCTGCCTCCTCCCGCCGCGCTCGGCCGGGCGCCCCCCGCGCGGCGCGGAGCGGAGCTGGGGGAGGCGGCGGCAGCAGCAGGGCCCGGCTCGCCCGCTCCCCCCGCGTTTCCTCCGCAGCTCCCTCCCCGCGGCCTCCCCTTCCCCTCCCCAGTCCCCCCCCCAACATACACCTCCCGCCGCCGCTCTCCCCGCGCGCGGATCGGCGGCCGATGCGGAGCGCGGCGCGCGGGGCGCCGAGCCGGGCGCTGCCTCCCGCCGCCGCCTCCATCGCGCGCGGCCGGCTCCGCTCGGCGGAGCGCAGCGCGGCCCGGCGCCCCATGGCCGGGCGGCGCGGGGCCGCGCGCACCCGGAGCGCCTGAAGTTTGCCTGGAGCGAGGTGCCGCGGAGGAAGGAGGAGCTGGGGAGGGCGCGGAGGGGGGCGCCGCTGTCACATATATATATATATATTTAAAACTCCTCTTAACACCCCCCCGGAGGGGCAGTCCTGTCGGAGGCAAAGCAGGGGGCAGCTGGTGTCGTGTCCCCCCCCCCGGGGCACCACCCCCGGCCGCCGGAGAGGGGGCGGCGGGCGGGGAGAGGGTCCGACAGGAGGCAGCGGCCACAGGGCCGGTGGCGGGAGGGCGGCCGGGACCTGCGGGCCATGGGGTGCACCGGACGCAGAGCCCCCCGGGGGGGGCGCGGGGGGGAGCAGGGAGGGGCGGGGAGGGGAAGGGGTCTGGGGAAGGTGGGGGGAGTTCCCCCCCCTCGCCCCCCCTCAGCCTAGTCTTTCCTCTTCTCTCCCTCTCTCCCTCTTTCTCGCTCTCCGCCCGCCGATGCTGGATCCCGCCGCGGCGCCCACAGGGATGAGCGATGGAGGCGCCGAGCCCGGCAGGAGCCCCGTGCTGCGGGGGGAGCCCGGAGCCGCCGCCGCCGCGCCCGGCCGCACCGAGCCCGGCAGCTGCAAGGAGGCGGCGGGCGGCTCGGCGCCCAGCGCCGGCTCCTCCACGCAGTGCGCCGCGCACAGCCCGAGCCCGGCGGGGGCCGGCGAGGCCGATTACTGCCGCCGCATCCTGGTGCGAGGTAAGGGCCGCCGCGGGGACCCGCTCTCCAGCCCGCGCTACCCCCGGGGCTCCCCGCAGCCGCGAGCCTGGAGCGAAGCGGACGGGATGCAGGGGGGGTCCCGGCGCCCCCAGGCCGCGGTGACGGAGCAGGGCCGAGGGAAGCGGCGGCTCCGGCGGCTGCCGAGTGCGGAAGCGGCCGGCGAGGCCGCAAGCCGGGGCCGGCGGGGCCGCGGGCGGCGAGGGAAGGCAGAGGGAAACAGCTCGGCGTTTTAAAGCGTTGTCGCAGGAAAAAGGCGTCACGGAGCAGCAGCGAGTTAAGGGCTATTTTTTCCCCTATAATATCAGTTGCTTTGGCACGGGGATGCGGGAGCGGCGGCGGCGGCAACGGACAGAGAGCTCCGCGTCCCCTTCCGCCGCTACCATTCGGGGCTCCCCGGCCCCAGGGCGGCCCAGGCGAACCCCAAAGTTTGGGGCTGGCGCTGACCTTTTCTTTTTTGGTATTGTTGTTGTTTATCTTTTTTTTCGTTTCGGTTGTCGTTGGGCAGCGGCGCCGTGTCGCGGCCCCGAGCCGGGCAGCGCGGAGGACGCGCTCGCCCTTTCCCCCTTCCCTGGCCGGGAGCGCCGCGAGGCTCCCAGGCCGCTCGACGAGAAGGAAGCCCCGAGGTCCCCGGCCTTGTCTGCTGGGCCAGCCAGGCCAGCAGCTCCCGTCCTCCCTTCGCTGCGCTCCGCGGCCGTCCCGGGGCCTGTGCCCGCGGCCGCGGGGCCTGTAGCCAGCACCGCGCTCACCCCGAGCCGGGCCTGACGCAACCGCCGCGCAAACAGGGCGCGGAGCGATGCGCCCCGGCTGCACGGATCCCCCGGAGCCCCGGGCCAGGGCCGCTCTCCAAGAGCTCCGCTCCGAACCCGGGCCGCGCATCCAGGCCCTTCCCCGGCCAGCACGCACGGCTGTCGCGATAGGCGCCTGTCGCCGACAGGTTCTCTCTCTGGCAATGTTGCTTCTTGACAGGGAAAACAGATCGGAGGAAGCGGCAGGGCTCGGCCCGAAGCGCCGGAGCCGCAGCCAGGCCAGCGCGGTGCTGGGCACCGAGCAGCCGCCTTCGGCTTCGGCAGCAGCGCAGCTCGTTGGCAGCGTGGACCGGGAGAGCCTGGCCTCGGGCATCCCTCCTCCGGGCTGGCTTCGTCGAGGGAAGCGGGGCCGGGTCCCAAAGCGGCGGAGCGGGGCCAGCTCCCCGCTTCGCCCCGTCCCGAGGGTCTCTGACCCTGGCAGGGCCGCTCTCACCATCTTGCTGCAGCCGCCAGGGCGCGGACAAAATGGTGGCGGGGAGAAACGCGGCGAAGAAAACGAAATTTAACGGGGGGAAAAAGCGGACCAAGTGTCCGGGCGGCCCTGGCCGAGCTGCCCGCGCTGCGCGGAGAAGCGCGACCGCGGCGCCGGCTCGGGCCCTTCCGCCGCCCGCTGCCCTCGCCCGCAGCGGCGCCGCGGGGACGCTCGGACAGCGCCGAGGCCGCGCGTCCAGCGCCCATTTCCCCCCTAATTTTTCCTCCCTCCCAACCAGGAATGAGTCGGCAGCACCGGGGGAGGCGAGAGGGCCCCTCTTTTCCCCCCTCGCTGCCGCTCTTGGGGCGCCCGCCGCTGCCGCAGGGCCGGGCGGCTCTTTCGGGCCGCGCTCCGTTTTTCCGCCCTTGGCTGGGCCGGGGCTGGCAGGCGGCTCCTCCGCGCCCGGCGGGTCCCGGCAGTAATCAAGGGACCGCCGCTTCGTCCAGGTTTCGTTTTCGGCGCACGGAAGCGCAGCGGCTCCTTCCCGGCGCGGAGCGGCCCCGCAGCGGCGGCCCCGGTCGGGCGGCTCTGGAGGCCGCTGGCGACGGCCCGCTCCCCGCTGCAAACCGTGAGACGGGGAGCCGAGAGGGACCCGAGAAACGGCGGGACCCCGGGCCGGGCTCCGGGCACGACCGATAGCTGCTGCCTCTCGGCCGGGGCTCCTCGGCCGAGGTGTGCTCCCGGAAACCGAGCGCCCTGCACGGCTCGGCGGGCCCGTTTGCAGCGCGGCTCTCGGAGCCGTTCCCGGGAGCTGCCCGGAGCCGCCACCGCGGCCCCGCAGTGCTTGTGCCGAGGAGCCCACCCGTGCCCGTGCCCGTCCCGCCGCGGCCGTTCCGCTCGTGAGGGGACACCTGCGCCACAGGGCGCGTTGTGGGCGGCCGGAGGACCCGGCCCCGCCGGGCCCGGCGCCGCTGTCAACGAGCGGCCGCAGCGCGGGGAGGGCGCTGGAAGTGGGGCCGCATCCGCGAGCTGTGGGTCTGCCCGGGTCCCCCCGGGGCAGGTGCCCACCCAGCCTGGGGGGCTGCCCCACGGGGGCTGCTGTGCCGGGGCTGTGTGTGACGCTGCGCATGCAGCGGCGGCGGCATGCGGGCACGCGTGTGCACTGCAAGCACGCAGCGTGCATGGACGCGAGCCCTGAAACGTGCTGCCCTTCCGCCGCAGAACGTCCATGTGCACTGCTGTACGTGATGCGTCTTCCCCCCGGGCCCCCACCCGACTGCGGGTACAGGGAGCGCGCTCACACGCGTCGGGGTGCGTGATGTGTCCCTGTGCACGCGGAGAGACGTGTTCGTTCCATGTAGCCGGGCATGTTGTTGTGTGCGTGACTTGTCCCCCTGTGGATGGGGACATGTGTGTGGCAGGGAGGTCTGTGCTCGCGCTGCGAGGGCGCAGGCTGGTGCTGCTGCCTGCGTGTGCAGCTGCGAGATCTCTTGCTCCTCAGCCCCGTGGCCGGGGCTGCAGACCTGCTGCCTACCCAGCTCCAATGCCTCCTATGCCCAGCTGTGCCCCAGTATGGTGCCGCAGTGCAGTTAGGTGGGCACATCTGCCCGGGAGTTTTGGAATTGGACTTTTTCCCAGATTGAGGGAAAATCTGAGGGCTGTTATCGGCAAGGCTCTCAGGAGGGGGTTCCTGGCTGCAGAGGGACCATGGGTAGCATGACGGCTGCACTGATGGGCACTGTCACGAGCCGCCTGTCAGTGAATGTCCATGTGCCCACCGACTCATCCCAACGCATCCGCAGGGCCCAGGCCTCTTCCCGGCCGAGCTAGTGCTGCGTGTTGGGGCTGTGCACGATTCCTCCACTCATCACAGCTGGCAGAGGGGAACGTAACAATAAATAATACCACTCGTGGCGATGGCAGTGCCACGCGGAGCCGCCAGGGCCCAGGCTCACAAACTGCAGCTGCGGCCGGGAAGCCGCAACGTTCCCATCAGCTGCTCCCTGCTCTTGGCCCTGGCTGCTGTTGCGCAGGGCGACCTCGGCACGGATGTGAGGGTGAGGACGTGGTCTGGGCATCATCCCTCCCCACACTGGAGTCAACATCCCGGCCGGAGCTTCCCCCTTCCCTGTGGCACCAGAGCAGATCTGCTCCATGGCACTGTTTTCCTCTCCATATCCACCCTGTGCAGTGTTTGGAATGGCGCATTGCAGCTCCTTGTCTCCGCCAGACCCCTTCCCATCTGCTCATCCCCATGACCAAGGCCCAATCCAACCATCCCCACAGGATGGTGCCCTGGACGTGCATCACGGTGGGACGACGTCTTTGGGAACAGGGTATTTCTCCCCAACCCCTGCTTGCTCCCAGGCCCCTCTTCTCCCTCGCCCTCTCCCTGCCTCTCCCCACTGGTTGCCCCCGTCCTTCCTGCCCCAGCACTTTTATAATCCTTCCGGGCCTGAGTCAGCAACGCTGCAAACGCAGGGGCTGGAGGAGACCTTGAGGGCGCAGGAGGAGAACGGGCCCGGGAGCTGGGCTCGCTGCCGCACTGATGTTCAACCTGTGCAGGAACGGGGAGCTTGGCAGGCTGGGGGGCTGCATCGCTGAGATGGGTCCTGATGCCCCGTGTGGTGCCCAGGGAGCTGGGGAGCAAAGAGCCCCGGTCCTCGGGAGTCCCTGGGCACGGGGAGCCACTTGGTCACTGTGCGCTGTCCCCATGTCCCCATGGGCAGCGCTGCTGGCAGAGCCGGGCGTGGGGATACGCGACGGGTCTTGGCGCTGGTGCTGCTATTTGGGTATTGAGGAGGAGCGGGTGGAAGGGACAACAGGGATGTATAACCTGGGAATCCTTCAAGGAAACCCAAGGACACCTTCCCGGATCCCTTTCAGTCCCGCATGCCCACGGAAAGCTGTGGACAAGGTTAGTCCTGGCCTCCCAGAGCCCACGGGGTCTGCAGGAGGGAAGCCGGGGTCCGCCCGGCTCCAAAGCCACTTCCCAGCCCTCAGCTGCCTCCACGTGCAGCAGTTTTGTTCCAATTTTGTTCCCGACAAAAGCTGCCTTTATGCGCGCGTGCTCGAGCCCAGGCTGCTCAGAGGCTCCCCGGCCGCGTTGCCTCTTCCCTGACCTTCCCGGTTCGCGAAGCATTAGAAATACTCCGGCCCCGGCAGCACCGGCTCCGCGGGGACACAGAGCCGGCGGGACACGGATGGGCCGCCCCGCACCGGGACACTCGCCGAGCTTTCAGAGCAGGTTGTTTCGTTGTGGCCAGGGCTGGTTCTGGCATGAGCCAACAGAGCCTCTCCTTGTGGAGGAGGGAACCCAAATATATATATATATATTTTAATTAAAAATATCTTTTTTTTTTTTATAAGGCTCTTTTCTGCTTCTGCTTATGTTGAAATTTATTGTTTTCCTTAAGGATTTCCTTAGTTTCTACCCATCTCTTAAAAAAAAATTAAAAAGAAAAAAAGCAATCTACCATTTTTACATTTTTAGGAAGAGCTATTGCTTCTTCCCAGAGTTTTGTGACTTTGCGGCAATGCGGAATCATAAAACATGCCTGCTTTGGTCCTGCCTGGGTGAATCCCCCCGGTTGCTCACGAACCAGCCCAGGAGCAGCACTGGGGCTGTCCCCAATGTCCCTTGTCCAGCTCGGGGCTTCATCCGGATTTTCCTCTGCGGGAACGATATCTGCTCCCCCCGCCTGGCAGTTTCCTGACCGCTCTTTTCCCGGCTTCCCTCCTAGATGCCAAAGGGACCATTCGGGAGATTGTGCTGCCCAAGGGCCTGGACCTGGACCGGCCCAAGCGCACGCGGACCTCCTTCACGGCGGAGCAGCTCTACCGCCTGGAGCTGGAGTTCCAGCGCTGCCAGTACGTCGTGGGCAGGGAGAGGACGGAGCTAGCGCGGCAGCTCAACCTCTCCGAAACGCAGGTAAGGGCCGGGGCATCCGCGACGGCCCCGATGACATTCCCTACGCGCCCCTGCCCTGCATGCCGGCGTGTCCCCGCGGTGCCTCCCTGCGCGTTCCTGCGGTGTGTCCCTGCTTGTGCCCAACGTGTGTCCCTGGCACGTTCCCAAAATGCATCCCCGGCACATCCCTACGGTGCATCCTGACACGTCCCTATGGTGCATCCTGACACATTCGTACGGTGCATACCCGGCACATCCCTACGGTGCATCCTGACACGTCCCTATGGTGCATTCCCAGTATATCCCTATGATGTGTTCCCTTCTCATCCGTGTGGTGCATCCCTGGCACATCCATACAGTGCATCCCTGGCACATCCGTACCATGCATCCCTGGCACATCCATGTGGTGCATCCCTGGCACATCCATACAGTGCATCCCTGGCACATCTGTGTGGTGCATCCCTGGCACATCCATGTGGTGCATCCCTGGCACATCCCTGCTGTGTCCCCAGCAGGTTCTGGTCGCTGCCGGGAGCAGCGTGCGCGGTGCTGTGTTTGCATCACATTCCACCTGTTTCGCTCAACTCTGTCCCGGTCCCGTCACCAGCCCGGCCACGGCTCCCACCAGAGCCGCAGGGAAGCAAGGGGCTTCCAAGGGGCTTCTCCCAGAGCCATAGGGGGTTTGTCCTGCTCCTCGGGCTGGAGGAGCAGCAGCTCCATAGTCCATGGGGAGAGCAGCCACCCCGGCACCCTCCCCCCTTGAGGGGACCCTCCTTCCCATGTCCTGCAAGCAGGGAAATGGTCTGCAATTCCTATGGAGGTGCTGCTGCACGAGGGGCTGCAGCGGGATGGGGCCGTGTCGCTGCTGCTGTTGGGGTTGGGATGTGGCCGCATCCGAGGGGGTCCTGCATCCCCTTCCTCCCAGCCCTCGGTACTGCTCTCGCAGTAGCTGTTGCACCCGAACACATCCTATGGACCCAGAGGAATTCCAAACCCAGGGCTGGCTGGGATTTTCCCCCCATTTTCTTCCGCTGAGGCTCACCCAGCGCAAGCACGAGGGGCAGGATGGCACCGTCTGGGCAAGGGCAGGAGAAGCGGCCGCGCTGGCGCCTGTGCGGGTGCTGGTGGGCAGAGTGCGCCGGCTGCACTGCGGTCCGAGACAAAATATGCAGGGATATCCATGCAAGGGTCAGCACTGAATGCAACCGCGAGCTTCTAGATGCGACAGACAGAGCCGTGAGATAGTCCTGTGCTAGAGATACCGACATGCAGGGCGGCCGTGCTGCCCGGCAGCTCCGTCCAGCAGCTCCATCCTGCAGCTCCAGCTGCTGCGGAGCTCCCGGGCAGCCCGGCACGTAGGAGGGACCCAGGGCTGCTGGACCCTCCGCTGGAGCGGCACGTCCTCTGGCTGCTGCTGCTGCTGTGGCTCTGCCCATCAGGGACAGGCAAAATCCAGCCGTTTGGGGCTGTTTGGGGCTGTTTGGGGCTGCTTTGCCGAGGGAGGCTGGCAGAGCCGGCTGGTCGCTGCGGATCTGGGGGATATGGGAGCTGATGGCAGAGAGCAGAGCAGGCAGTGCCGGGGACGGGGACAACGTCCAAAGCGTCACGTTTGCTCGAAGCAGCAAAAGGGCTCGTTCTGGGCCCCGGGCTCGTTCCTCCCCGCACAGCCCCAGGTGAAGGTGGGCGCTGGGAGCCCTCCCGCGGCACCGAGCGTCTCCTCCCTGCTCGCCGCCTCCTTGTGCCCGGCGAGAAAATTCTCACCCTGTAGGCCACAGCTGCCTTCCCCGCTCCCCGCGCCGCCCCTCTGCCGCTTCCCTGTCCTTTTTAATCCTTTTCCGTGCTTTTCATGGTGCTGTCCCTCCCCGCGGCGCTGACACCTCCGCGGGCCCCAGCGGGTGCTCGGTGCCGGTGGCTCCCGGTCCGCGGTGCCCGGGAGAGCCCAGTGCAGCCTCGGCAGCGCCCGGGGCTGGTGTGGGGCCGCGCTGCCCCCCCGCTGTTCTCCTCGGCCTCCCCCCGGCTTTTCCCGCTCCAGATTCCCTGCCTGCTGTGGGAAAGCTGTGGGAGCCGCAGAGCAGGACAGGGTTTTATTTTTTAAGAAAACAAATTTCACTTAGGGGGGAGTGACAGGAAGGACAAGAAAAGATTCCACTTCTGTGCGGAGCCAACCAGGGCAGAGCGGTGCGGGCGACGTGACGAGATGGGAAGAGACGTGATGTCCTCGGAGCCCGAGAGCTGCAGCCGGGTGGCCCCTGCCTCGGCTCCGCGCGGAGGCTGCGCGCCCCGGCGAACCCGCCGGTCCATGCTGGACCATGGGGAGCTCCTCACTGCCTTGTTGCTCGTCCCTGGCCGGGTGTGGGAATTAATCTGGAGTGAAGGCAGGACTAGGTCTGCAAGGGAAGAGCAGGGAGCAGCACAAGGTTCCTCCTGGCCTCCTGCAGCTCCATAATTCACCTGCCTTCCCTAGGAAGCTAAGGAGCTACTGTGTCCCACCAGGACAGCCCGTGTCCCATGGGCAGCTCCTCATGCAACATGCTCCTTCTCTTGCTTGCAGCTGTTGGAAATGTCCATGGGTGGTGAGGAGGTGGCCTGAGCGCCCACATGGACGTGTGGCCACCACCTCGGGGAGCTGCAGCTTCCCCTGGCATGGAGCAGTGCAGGGAAGTTCTCCAGACGCATCCATGAGGGATGTGGAGCTGGGAGCAGCCATGTCCGTGTCCCGGCGTCCTCCGGTTCCTGCTCCAGGGCACTTGGGAGAGGTGCCCCCTCCCAGGGTCATGTGAGCTGGAAAACACTGAGCACGGAGACTGCGTGACAGAGCAACCATAGGGGGAGGATAATTCCCACAAATCCTCAGGCAGGAGGAGATGAGAAGATGGGGCTGGCTGAGGGGATTTGCTGGGGGCCAGGAGGCTTTGCTTTCTAGGCCATGAGGTCAGTGCTAGGTGCAGATGGGAGCGACCTGCTCTCCCCGTCCTCCTTAGAGCGGGGTGTGACATGCACATGTCCCGGCTGCCTTGGGCCACCCCTAGGACGTGTCACACCAGGTGCTCCCAACACAGACTCCAGCTCCAGGGGTTGTCCTGCTGTGAAGCAGCTCGTCCCATCCCCAAAGGCAGGTGCTTTGGGCACTGGAGATGGTCTCGCTCCAGGAGATCATGACTGGGAGCACACATGAGAGGTCCTGGGACCCTCCCAGGTGCTGTCCCGTTGGATGTACCGTGAGGAAGACACTGGGGAACCTTCAGGGTTGCTGGCGTAGCAGCTGGCCATCCCATGTGGTGGGATGGCATGAAGCAGAGGGAAGCCTTGGACCATGTCATGTAGAACGGACCCACCTGTGAGCCTGGAAATCCATGGGGCTTCTCCCACCACGGGGCCTGGCTCCATCACAGGCTGGAGCGCCCGGCAGGACCTGCTCTGGGAGCGGCGCCTGGAAAGCCTGGGCAGAGGCTCTTCCCTCTGGGACACGGCGGGACACGGCGGGACGGGCTGCTTGGGAGGCGCGTCCAGTATGGGGACACCCCAGACCCAGCGCAGAACACACGGGAGAGAGCAGCCGAGCTGGAGCAGGGCGGGAGGGGCTATTTATAGCAGCGCAATTAAGATGTTGCTGTTAAAAATTCATCGCACCTCAAGTCATTAACAAGCAAGAGCGCGAGAACGGCTGGGGCTGTGTGCGGCGTTGGCACGAGCTGTGCCCCCGGAGCAGACCTGCTGGGAGGCGGGAGGAGGTGCCGGGCGCCCACACCTCGGGTCTCGTCCCCGTGGGTCAGGGCTCCCCCGGGAAGGAGAGGCAAACGGGCCCGTGGGGCCGGCGAGGCAGAGGGATTCGCGGTCCTCGGGCGTGCCCATGGGAAGCTCAATCTCCGAGGTTTGCCTGGAGATGGCAGAAGTGCGGACCAAGGCAGGCTGGCCAGAGGGGTTCTGTTCTGAAGGGGAACGCTCCTCCCACCCCTTCATCCCTCCTTCCATCCCTGCATCCATCCGTCCATCCCTGCATCCATCCCTGCATCCCTCCATCCACCCCTCCGTCCCGCCATTCCTCCATCCACCCCCTCCATCCCTGCATCTACCCCCTCCATTCCTGCATCCACCCCCTCCATCCCTGCATCCACCCCCTCCATCCCTGCATCCACCCCCTCCATTCCTGCATCCACCCCCTCCATCCCTGCATCCACCCCCCCATCCCTGCGTCACTCCGTGCTGCCCCTCAGGGTAGCTCTGCGGTGTCTGGAGCACCCTGCTCTTCAGCACCCATCAGGATGGGGTCCCCATGCGGGTGCTCCCCATTCCTGGGATGTCCTGGAGCCGGAGGCAGGAAAGCACATCCCAGGGATGCGGCTCCCTGCACCCGGCAGCTGCTGCAGCTGCTTGAGGCCTTGCGGGGACCCTGGTGTCACCCGCTCTGTGCCAGTCCCCTCCCGCGTGCCCGCTGGTGACCAGCGGTGCCCGCGTGTCCCGGCTAATCCCGTCTGTCCCAGGCGGAAAGAGCCCCATAAAGGGCGTCTCGAGCAAGCCGAGGAAACCTTTGGTTGAAGGATGATGTCTCCTGTTTGAAAAGCAATATATATATATATATAATTACATATATTATTATTTATATACATTCATAATATAATATAATATAATATAATATAATATAATATAATATAATATAATATAATATAATATAATATAATATAATGCAATACAATACAATACAATACAATACAATACAATACAATACAATATAAATTATATTATATATAATTCCATATAATATATATACATGTAATATTTATAAAATATATAACTCCTCTAAGGTATTGTATTATATTATATTATATTATATTATATTATATTATATTATATTATATTATATTATATTATATTATATTATATTATATTATATTATATTATATTACATTACATTACATTACATTACATTACATTACATTACATTATATATGTAAATATAATATATTGCATATATTATATACAACATTATGTATATCATTATATACAATATTGCATACATAATA